TTGGTTTTTAACATCTTCAAAAATATTTTGATATTAGCATCACTGGGATGTTTCACATATATTATTTCATTTAATAGTCACAAAGACTTAATGAGATGTAGGTACTATTCTCATCCTTATTTTGAAGATGAGAAAACAGGCTCAGAGAGTTTAAGTAACTGATACAAAGTAACACAGCTAGAATATGTAGAGATGACATTGGAACCTAGATCTGTTTTCCTCTAAAGTTTATGCATTTAACCGTACAGCTATGTGGTGCCACAACATAGTCCATTGATTAATGGTGGAATATTTTCTTGACCTTTGAGAAAACTTGAGAAAAGGTCTTTAATTTTTAACTTCTTGAGCAACATACCAGATGTTAGACTTCCTAGTAGATACAGCCAAGCCTTTAATATATATGGTTGGAAAACACTGTCTTACTATGGGTCAGACTTTTTATTACCAATATAATCTTCCTGACTTCCTTTTCAGTCTTTAGATCTAATGTTGTCCTCTTGCTTACTTAAACATTAATTCTCCTGATTGGTCTTTCTATTGTTTTTGTTTGGGTGGTTCGTTTATTCTACCTGGTCTCCTGACAAGTGACCACAAACTTGGATGTATAGCATGTCAAGACAACTCTTTAACTTAGGTAACTTGATATCATAAAATCACCAATATGTTAATACCTAAGACTGAGATTGTGGATCATATAAGCCCATGAAAAAAGTATGTGTAAGCTACATTTTGGCCCTGTTCTTTCTGATAAACTGCCTTACCTAAATCTTGACTGGAAATTTTAGTTGGAGTCTCCAGGTATCTTTCCTTAACCAGTATTTGCTAGATTTCTTATGAAGTCGAGGATGTTAAAAGAAAATAAAAACATGGATTAAAAAGTACTTATCCTATCTAAATGAATGGACTAAGCTGTTAAATAATGAAAACATATATTTGTATGTCGAGATATAGATACATAGATACAAACTCGGTACAGATCTGTAACACCATTAATTCTTCTTCATTGAGGTATTGGTGGAGCCATTAGCCAGATGTTACAGAAAGTCGTGTACTGGTCCTACTTTAGTAATTTCTAAGGATGTGGTTAAAATAAACATGGGCTTTGGAGTCAAACATGGGTTTGAGTCCTAGAATTGCTTCTTAGTTGTTGAGTGATGTTTGGGAAGTTACTTAACTACTTTGCTTCTCAGTTTCTTTACGTGTAAACAATTTTCAGAATGGCTAAATTGAAAAAGACTGGCAATATCAAGTGCTGACAATGATTTAGAGCAATTGGGACTGTAATACTTTGCTGGAGGAATGCCAAATGGAATAGCCACTTTGGACAGCAGTTTTTTAAACAATTGAATTTACTTTTACGCTAAGACCTAGATATTCCATACCTAGGTATTTTCTTAAGAGAAGTGAAAACATATGCTTACACAAATACTTACATGTGGATGTTTGTATCAGCTTTATTTATAATCATCAAGACCTGGAAACAACTGACATGTTCATCAACTAATGAATGGATAAGCAAATTTTGGTATATCTGTACAGTAACAAGGAAGGGACTACTGATATGTGCAACAAAATGGTTAAATATCATAATATTTATGCTAAGTGAAAGAAACCAGATACAAAAGGCTGCAAAGTATACGATTCCATTTATAATGACATTCTGGCAAAAGCAAAGCTATAGGGACATGAATCAGATAAGTAGTTACCATTGTTCTGGAAGTAGGGAAAAGGGATTGACTGCAAAGGGGAAGGAGGGAATATTTTGGGGTGATGAAAATGTTCTATATCTTGTTTGTGTTGGTGGTTATATGACTATACATTTATCAAAATGATGAATTTTACTGTATGTGAAATCATACCTCAGTACAAAGGAAAGAAAAAAATAGGGTGGTTATGGAAATGATAAAAGATCATTATCTCCTCCAGTTTTTCTTCTGTTTGGTTCTTCATTGTTCTCTGCATCTCCTATGACTCTCATAAATTTAAGGTCCATGATGAATTTCGATTTATTATTTCAGGGCTGAGATACTACAGAAAAATTTATGTCTTTATCTGCCATTATCTGCAGTCCCTGAGTCACATTATAAATCAAGCCATCAACTGGATTCTTATAGTTCTGGATGTTCCAATTAGTACTGAATAACTTAGATCTGGAATTTGCATGCTCTGTAAAATATACCAAATTCACCTGCTTCCAATGGATTCCTCATCTCTGTCCTGTGGCAATGAGAGTGCACAGTATGATTGGGAAGGCGTGTAAAGCAGTCTTGAGATGGGTTCACTTCTACTACAGCTTTCAGCTCATCATTATCCACTTTGGTCTCATTTTCAAGATTAAAGTCACCAGAACCGAACTTCTCTAACCATCTATGTACTGTACATTCATTAGCCACATCCTTGCCAAATACTTCCTTGATATTTGGAACTGTCTGTGCTGCGTTGGTTCCACAACGGAACTCATATTCAAAAATAACACGAATTTTTTACTTATCCATGGTTTCACAAAAGTTTCTCTAAAAAAATTGGAAAGATAATCACAAGCCAAAATGTGCATTTGAAAGAATGAGGATGTACCTTCACCATAACGATAAAAATTAAAAAGAAGTGTCAAATTGAAATGTCAGAAATATCAACTGTCAAACTTAGTACTTAAGGAAATGGGACATTCCATACTTAACCTAATAAATAGCCCCTGTGTTCTCACACTTAAGTTTCATGATT